TGCAAGTATGCATTTGAAGCTGCAAAAATCCATTGGTCATGCAGTGACCTAAATTGGGATTACATGCTGAGGCATCAGTCTAATATGAAATTACTCCTATGTTTTTATTGTAATGACCAATTAAGGATCAGCACCTCAGAAACCTCAGTTGGCAGTTTTACATGAAATAAACATCGACCTTGAAAATGTGCCCTTTTTGAAATCCTAATGCTGATGTGTTCTGAAAGGGTCAGGCCGTCACCATGGTGTTGGCAGGGGTGAGTTGTGTTTGGCTGCCGAGAGCCGATCCATCCACAGTGCCAAAGATTAGTTGTGAGCCGGGAAGTTGCTAGGAGCCTGGGGTAAACATGAATGCTCCCTGCTTTCCGTACAGCTCCACTTCAAAGTCATGCAGCGTACTCACGAAAGTACCCGACGCTCCTCTTCCCTCCTTTAACAACATGTGGGGCATGGGGTAGGGAGTCATATTGTGTTCTTTTGGGTCTTTTTAAAACAAATTTTTGTTTAACCTCTGCTTTGACCCAGCACGTAAGTGTGTTGCCCAGATATGCTCCATTTCAGTTTATTTAACTAGAATGTTTGCTTACTCAGTGACCACTGGAGGGGAACTACTGTTCTTATTAATTCCACAATGGGTATTTGTTGCTTCTTGTTTTCTGACATTTTCTTTATGACCCTAATTGCAGAGTTCTTGTTTTCAGATAATAAATGCACGTGTCTATTTGCTCAGGTATTGTGCAATTGATCTCTAGCTATTAATTAAAGATCTAGACTCAATGTCTCTGAACCTGCCTCCGGATATTTGTCCTTATTGTGTCATACCTTGGATGCACAAACAGGGAAACCACGCGCAGCTCTGCATGCACACTGCTCATTCTCTTTAATAAAGAAGTCTGAATTATGGAGCTTGCAAAAGAGGATTATACAGAGCAAAGAATATTTTTCTGATGGGATTTTTATGCTTCCTTCTTTCCCTGGGCTGCCAGCGTTTCTCCCAAGATGCTGACCCGCAAGCATAATGAGAGGTTTGCTCCGCTCTGCCCTCAGAAAGCCTTACAGACCAAAAAGAGTTTATTTTTTCCTTTATTGTTTTTGCTGTTAATAGCAGGACAAACTATGGTTGGCATTGAGAACAGGATGAAGATTTCATGGGTGAAAAGAGAAATCAGATTGCAAATTCATTGTAGAGAGAAGACTGATTGGTTGCTTTCCCTCCCAGGAGCCCATTTGGGCAAATATGTTATATGATCCTGTGAACAAATTGTTACTTCTCCAGACTGGACTGTTTTCTGTATAAACACTTTACTGTAGCAATGTACAAGAACAGCACTTTCAATCCAAAACTCATCAAAAATAGACACTCCAGAACATTTGGAACTTGTTAGACTCCAGAAAAAAAAAAAAAAAAAAAAAAAAAAAAAAAAAAAAAAAAAAAAAAAACTGTGAAAAAAGCTTTTCACCTTCTAAATGTTCTCATTTTTATATTTTTTAATGTTCTAAAAATCCTACCAGAGAGCTCTGAAGGTTTTCAAAGCTCAGAACAGCATGGGTCTCCAAATATAGCAAAAGCACAGATTACAGAGGCAGAAATTGTTTTCGGTCAATTTAGTAAGAAGTCATTACACTTGAAGAGCAAGACTAATGAGCTTGGGAAGCCAGGATTTGGTTCCTACCCCTTTTGTACGCTTCCTGTTCCCCTTGGGAAAAATAACCTAACCTCTTTGTGACTCAGTTTCCTCACCGCCAGATGGGAATAGCAACATTTTCTGACCTCACAGGGAGTGTGTTTGAGAATCAGTTGAGAACCTAGAGAGACACAGCAAGAGAAATGCATGTTTTTGGCACCAGCAGATGCAGCTGCTGGATCTCACTTCAGCCAAACAATTTCCAGGTGAAGTCTCCCACTGGAAAATGCTCATTCTATGGAACTAAAATGTTTGGTGGAAATTAAATAATTATGTCTGTTATATGTTAAAAATTAGCTACGGATTTTACTTCGAGAAACTTCAAGTTTGGATCTTTGCAGTTGACGATTACTTTATCACTTCTAAAAAAGTCAGAATGACAGTGTTAGTCTTATCAGAGCCTAGTCCTTTAACATTTTCACCTCATGTATTTCAGTGGGCTTTCTTTGATGTTTCTACAATTTCTCTTTTGAAGTACTTTTTCACTGGAAAAAGGAAAGTTTAATATTCTTTATTCCAGTCTTTGAAAAAATGACTATCACTAACCCACAACTAAGAACAAAGTTTTTGTCTTCATCCCTCTGAATGGTCATAGCCACCCAAAAATGTGAGGAAGCATTACCTGTACACAAACTGAAATCACTAAATTTATTTCAGGCCTAGGAGTGCTGTCAGAAGCCCACACTAAACACATTAAAATAAGAGGTTAGCATTGTTGATTTGATCAGAAGCTCAAACTACGGTTGTGTTTTGTTTTGCCTTTTTTTTTTTTTTTCAATTCTTCCATCCCCCCCAAAAAATTAAATCTTTTGCCTCCAGAGCTCTTACAGCTACCATCTTTTTCAGCATTTGGGTTACCAAGTGAGATGTGGGCATCTCTGTCTGTTGCTTGTTAGGTTAGAAAGGTCTGCAGGAACCTCACAGTTCTGTACTGAGAAGATGAGTGCACCTTGTGATACAGTATCATAACATTTTGGCATAATTTCATCCTACATAAGAAAATGAATGCTATGAGAACATTGGCATAATCTTTTGGCTTCACAGGCTTGGCTGCCGCAGGCTCAACTTCTGAAGGTTTAAGAACTTTTATCCCAGTTCAGATAATATTGCCAAAACTCAGGTTGTCGTCTATAGAAAATAATTGCTTGTCCAAGTCTTTACAGTCTCTACACTAGTTTAATAACAAGTAATTAGTTGAATAAGTCCAATTAATGCCTTTGTACAGATCTGAGATTGGAGTAGGATTGTAGGTCAAGTTTAATTTTAAAATACATTAGAATTTCTATCACTCTGAACACACCCAGGGCAATGCTATTAACGGGCTTTCCCATTAATACATATGATTCATTATTTGGACTTGAAGACCAGATCTAACAATGTTTGTATTTAAATCTCTAAAACTCATCTAGAATGTTAACATTCACTGTGACCAGAGAGCTGCTTTGTTCGCCTTTCTCTGCAAATGTGCTAGACTCGGCGATACCAGCAAATGGTGGTGGAAAAGAAGTCACAGCACAGTTGTGTGAGTGGAACAGTGCCTTGAAACCCTAAGCATGAATTTTATATTAGATGGTACTCCACAGAGGGGCCATGAACTTTCAAAGAGCAACCTCCCACACACTAGATACACATGACCAGTGTTGCATTTTTCAGCAAGCAATACTCTGGTTCCAAGAGCTCTTGAGATTCATGCATTTTAATGGGTGACTCTGTTGCTCCTTGCTTCGGGGCTCTGACAAACTTCCCTTCAGCTCTTGGCTCACACTATGATGGTGCCTGAACAGGGAGAGTCAGTTTGTACAGCTTTCTCACTGAAAAGCAACATTTGCTTTTGAGATTAACGGGCTGGGCTAGGAAAATTTCACAGCCCTCTAGACAAAATGTTGTCAAGCCATTATAAGTACAAAAGGACGTGCAGGTGTTTTGCAAGCCAACTCGTACACTGAATGTCATTAAAAGCTCATATGCCTCTCTATTGTCATGTTCCCATTATTAAATGACAGTGGGTATTAAAATAATTCAAGATTTGGGCTTCAAGTGTTACTTTTATCCTCTATCACTCCTGTTAGTGGTCAGAGCTGTCTATTTTTGTCATGAACAAATTTCCTCCAAAGTGGCTTTTCTGTTAGGTTACTGTTAGATTAATTGCTGTCTATCTTGAACCACTGTCAGATCAATTCTAATATTAAAATGAAGTTTATATTGATTCATTTTATTTCATTGGCATTCTATGCCAAGATAGAGTCATGATCCCAGCGAGATTATTCCCCACAATTTCAGATTCAGATTCTGAAAATTGTGAGGTAACAATACTAATAAAAATTATAATAATACATCACATATCTAACTATGGATATTCAAAAATAAAAATAATAATTTTGATTTGAATATAATAAGAATTACTTTTATGACTTCAAAGTCAGCATGAAGCAGAAATTTTATGCAATGTAAAAAATATAAGATCAGAAGATCCACTGTAACTGTTAAACCAAAGGTTCATTCAGCCCCAGTCCTGTGTTTTTAAAAAGCAAACAAAGGTACAGAGACATTCTTCTCTTGTTACATCCTCCCATCTTCCAGGACTAGGTGATACAGGGACCTCCTGGTCCAGAAAATGCAACTGGATTCCTAACAGCTAGCAATGGACTCAGACTACCAAAAATGTGACTGTCTTTTAAACTCAGGTATGCTTTTGGCCTCACAAGTTCTAACACCAGTGATTTGTGATTTGAGCTTGCTGGCATGTTTTGTGACCAAGCACATTCATTGTTGTTTTGAAGCTTGTTCCCTACAGAATTTAGAAAGCATCCCTTCATTCTTATGCTGGACAAAGAGAAGCACAGTTTATGTAAGGTAAACTGACAGTAATCATCTCAGTGAGTTATTATTGTTTATGAAGCATAATTTAAGAGCCAGATTTTCCAACAATTCGTGGATGCAATTATACACCTAATTTGCACAGTTATTGCAGACTTATATAATATATATATTTGTGTATAATATTGGTTACTTGCATGTTGAACTGGGCTAATGCAGGGCTGTTACAGCACTAAATGTTCCCCGTGTGTATTTTTCCAGAGGGTGATGGCACATTTAGCATAATCTCTTCTAACTACAGTAATCTCTTCTAACTACAGTAAGTCAACTCACTAATAGTTTCACACCAGGTACAAACCACATTATTTTTCAAGGAATGAGCAGCTATTATTGTCAATGGATGATGTGTTACAAAAGAAATCTTCTGACTTTGGAGATTAGCAGAAATGTGCACTGTTTAGATGAAAATTAAACAGCACAGAGTGACTGAGACATTCCTTTTAAAGTACAGGTCACTGTATCAGTGCAACATCTGATTTTTTCATTTGGGTTTTCAAGCTGACTCACTGCAATAAGCAGAATGCATATATAATACACATATATATGTACAGAATGTATGCTCAACAAGTTTTTACATAGCAAGGGCTTTGGCAAGTTGCTTTAGAGACCACAGCCTCTGAAGTATGTGAAAGGCCACTGCATTGGACAGGCTTGTAAATTATTACTTGTCACGCATATGAGAGTGAAAAAGAAGTGTTGCAATTTGTGCTGTAATCCTGCCCAAAGCCAAGCCAGTAAATGGGCCAAAATTTTTTTATGAAAATGTTCTCAAAAATTCAGTCATCGAATCATTTTCAGGAAGCTGCTTCAGCAATTCAAGCTGAACTCAGACGAGCCTTTAGCTTTGCCCATTGATCCATCACAGAGTAGAAAGTGAAGGATTTCAGAGAGGAAGGGTCCCTCTGCTGCTATAAACGCCTGAAGATAACCAGTTGACCTAATGGCAACAACAAAACAAGAAATAAACACAAAAGAGCAATTATAACACTGTAGTGACTCATCTTGGTGGTTAGACAAAGTGCTTTAAGCAGATCAGCTGAACTGAATATTTCATAAAAGAGACTAACTGAAGACTCTCCATATGAAACTGTGTATCACACTGATTTATGGGGAGAACCACATGAGTGGAAATCATTGACAGAGTTCTTGTCCAGCTACATCATGGTAACAGAATGATCACATCACACAGTAAGATATAAATGACTCATTTCATTTCATGGCAAAAGAAATCCTGGAAGATATCAAAGCTTTAAAAACTTGAGCCATTCATATGCATTCATTTTGGCTTCATGGTCTTTAAGACCTTTAAAATAACTTTCAAGTGAGGTTATTTGTAGAGAAAAACTACAAACAAATTAAGTTAAATTTACAAGGTAACACACAATGGACATACAAATATCTGACCTGAATGACTGTTTGACAAATACAATTCAAATAACAAATGAATAGCATGGCACAAAAGGACATCGTCACAATTATGGAGCTTAAAAATAAGACTATTTTTTCCAAGCTTGTCTGCCTTCAAAGATATTTAAAACCTGATTCTCCTCCAGCATGTATTAGTGTCAATCAAAAATAACTCTGCTCAGGTCAATGGATTTACACAATTGCAAAATTAGTATAAGTGAGAGGACAATCAGAGCTTTTGTATGCTACAAAAATCTCTCTTAATAGCAACAGCAATAGAGAAGAAGGAGGTAGGAGGTCCCTTTCCAAGTCAAGCTGGGTGGATAAACGAGAAAAACCTGTGGAGCTTGTAAGTGAGGACTTGTAGGAGGAGCTGTAGCATTAATTTAGCCATTAATTTGCTCCTTCAAAATTTCCCCTTTCCTGTCTTCTACTTTATGTGACATGTTTAGCAGTAGTTGGGTTCTAAATATAACATTACATTGCAGAGATGTGCTCTCCATCATATAAGACTCATGAAGTATGGAAGTTTAAAATCATTTACTTGAATAGGAATAGTGGTTTTGGGTTGTTTCTTTTGAAATTGTGACAAAGGGCAAGTAGTGTCCCTCCACTCTTGGGCCCCATCCATGGGCCTGCCAAGTCATAGGCTACCTTCTGCAGAGTGCAGCTACGACTCCTCCGCTGGAGACCTTGCATGCCAGATACAGCTGGTTGCTCTGTGTGATGGATGCAGGGAAAAGTGCCCTCAGGAGATGTATTCTCAGCTGTAGACTTGTGTTACAGGATTGCCCCCACTTCACATTCACTTCACATGCAGGCACATTTATGCCATAGGACACTTCTGTTATGTGACTTAACAAGGAGGTCATTGGGATTTCACCAACCGGTAGTGACTGTTCAAGCAAGTTGGTTCCCTCCTACCGTGTTCACCAGTTTTGATGGGAACATGAGTTGGCTTAGTGAATGGAAAACAATGATGGAAAAGAAGGAGATGTCATATAGAAAACCTGTCTGTTGATGTTTGTGATGAAGTTCTGGTGACTCCAGAATGTAACTGCATCAAAAGTGGACGACTTCCATAGCAGGTCAGATTCCCAAATCATGGAATCCAGTAATAATTGCTAACCGTGTTTTTGCTGAAAGACCTAATAGAAGAAAAAAAAAATCTTACAGAAAAAAAGATTGCACTTACATCAATAGATATTTAAACCTTGTGGGGTAGAGAGGAAAATATACTTGTTCAGGAAGAAAACTTTTGTTGATATTACTTGCTCAAAACCACTGGGACTTTGCCAAACAGATTAAGCCACAAATAATTTACCCAAAGAATATGAAGTCAACAAGCTTTAGAACTGTGGGAACACCAAGTACTGAATAAGTTATTTGTGAATATCGAAAGGCTATTATAATATCACAAAGTTATAGAAAGATCAGTATGCTACAGATAAATACAGATCAGGCTCTGAGCTGTTGGCACTAGCATGGCTTCCTTGAAATTCATGTACCTCTGACACTTGGAGACAGAGAATTAGAAAAAGCACCTGGAAAATTTACTCTCCCTTTTGGACTCACTTTGTAAGACCTGTTCTATTAACTGCTTTAGTTATTTAGGCGAGCAAACTGTTTCTGTCTGGTGTGAAAGCCACTTTCCAACTAATAGAAATAATAATAATAATAAATAATTATATAAAAAAAAAAAAAAGGAAAAGGTTTTCTATAGGAGATAAAGGCCATGTGCATGGAGACCAAATGAAAACTGAGCAGTCCTGCCTAAGAGAATCTGTATTAGTTCTGGCAGAATATCTTTTCCAGCCCAGGACTGCCCTGGAGACACATTTCTTCAGCACCTCTTTCTGTAGCAGAAGAGCCTTTGCATGCTACATAGTAGCCTACACCTACACTTGGCTCTAGGGAAAGGCAAGAGTTGCAGAAGAGATAACCACCCACTTGGGTGATGGCACTGCCATTGCCCTCAGCAAGTCATCTGCTTTGCTCACCCCCACACACTTGTCTGATCATGAACTGACCCAGCATGTGTGAGAGCAGATCAAGTCATGTTATGATTTTCAGTAACCACCAACATTAAAACGTTTCTGAACTTTTGATTAAGACTAGTAGGTGGCTGCTTTGTCCCCTCCAAGAGACAAAGGACAGAGAAAATACAGAATTCTCTGAGGTCTTATTTTTATTCAAATTTCATTCCCTTCAAAGCTCTCCCAGGCAGTCTATCTTAGTAGGGTACTGACATCTTTTACCTTCTTTCTTGGTCTTGCTGACAAGCAGCAATAGGTCAATTTGGAAACATCAGCTCAGCTGTAAGACGGTTTCTCATTTCATTTCTTAGCCTCCTGGGGCTTTAGAAGGGAATCCCACCTCCAGACAGCTCATAAAGCAATTTGTGACACAGGATGTCCCAGTTACTATATAGGAATGTTGAAAGCATTTTATTTTCTCTCCTTTGATTTTTATTGGTTGAGCTCCCAGTCTTTTGTGAGTAATTATACCATTTGCTTTATGTCTTGCTTTTATAATGACTAATACAAAAATATATGTACAAGCAAATGGAAGCATATTACTGAGTGATTAACAATGAACAATTAGGATTAATTAAGGCAATTATTTTAATAAATAAGAATTAGTCAAATATATCCATAAACAAAGCTATAGCACATATTAAGCATAGCTGATGCAGGCTCAAGAAGCAGAGTTGTGACAGATGGGAACAGAAGCAAGAAGGAGACAGAGATGATTAAAGAGAAATACCTGTGTACATAAAAAATTTAATTAGGGGTAAGACAGGATGAGCATATGCAGTCTACTATGCCATTTGCAAGGATATTTCATTTGATCTATTACCGCTAGAAATGGGATTCATACACAGTCATCCATATTTAGCCAGATCCTTAAAGCTCCATTTTTTTTGTGGTGATACAAAGTCAGAAAGGCATTAAACTGTCCTAAGAAACACGGGGCAAAGTCATTCTTTTCCATCACTTTTCAGTAACACCTTGTTGAAATCTCATCATGGCATCAAGACAAGAATCTATTCTTGAGGTTCAGAACTAGGAATTCAATTTTCAGTTGTCTAACCAAGATTTGCACCAACAGCACTGAAATCAGAAGACAATACGACAATATCTTTTAAGGTTTCTGACTCAATTCATGACATTCTTTAATATTCACATTTTTTTACTGATTTTGGGTGAGGTGAAGCAATTTGTCTTGTGCTATTTTATACTGGCTCAGATCTCCTCAACTTCCACATCACCACTGGAAAATATAATCTATTGTGCTACCACACTGAAGGGTGGTTCTGCTCATGTGGCACCACAAGTGAGAGTTTTCCATGGGTTAATCAGTCCAATTAAATGGATATGGTCTCTTACTGGGCACTATTAACCTCTGGCACATTCAGATCAACAGAAAGATGCCAGTAAAGCTGTAAAGACAAAGAAGTAAACCTCAAGATTTTATATGCCAGTTGGTGCCAATAGCTTTTCTTTCTACAATAAAGTGTCTCAGTAGCCTGGGGTTCTCAAAGTAGCATCAAACCTCAGTAAATTGTTGCTGGAAGGTTTATAGCAAGAATGGCATGAAAGTATAAAGAAACACTGAGAATGGTGCTACAGACACCAAATGAAAGCAGAAATTATTGGAAGACATTGCAGTGTCAAAATTATGGTCCATGCAGTCATATGATATTAGCCAGTAAATAAATATGTTTACTGTGTTTACTCTGGGGTAAATGCAGTTAGTTCTTTTTTGATTAGATGTATTGGGAACATAAAACTGTCAGTCCCATGGTCTCACTCCCCCTTCCTGTAGGAGAGCCCAGCTGCTGACTCAGCAGTTGTTTGCTGTTGGGAAGGACTTCAAGTCTCAACTGAGCCTCGTAAAACATCTTTGCTCCAGTAAATCATACCGCCTTTTTGTGGATGTTGAAGGTCGATAGAATAACATGAGCGTACACACAGCTAAGAAACCAAAGCCCCCAGCCGAGACTTTCTTAGTCTGCGTATTGTTCTACTTGAGTTCTTTGTCTGCTATTTTGGCCATGATTAAGGAACGAGCTTAAGAACATGGTTAAGGACTTTTCTGAGTTAGTGCCTAGATTTGCTCTTATACAGCTAAGTTTCTGGTTATTATCAAGATCTTCACCAGTCAGTAATCAAGAGTGTGTGAAGGTGGTAAAAGACTGAGCAAGACAGATACCAAAGTCATGTATCCCATTGTCCCGTACCCAAGCTAAATGCCTCCAGATATTTTACTAACTAGCAAACTACATGCTTTGAAGGGTAAAATGATTCATTATATTAGAGGTTAAAAGCAAAACTGTAGGAAAAATAAAAGTCTGCTTCAGTCCATTCTCAAGGAACAAAAATAATAATAATAATAATAAAATACATTAACCCTTTTTTTCTTTTAGCACTGAAGAACATCAAATTGATATTTATCTCCCTCTTGAGAGAGATGGAACTAAAACCATTTCAATTCATAAAAATCTTACTTGTTTCTCTTCAACAGCTTCCTGAGAACCCAGAGAGGAAGGAATATTGTAATTTTCTAACTGCTTCAGCAAGTCCAGGTAGTGCAGTTCACTTGTATCTTATAGCCATTGATATGCATGTGGACAGTTATGCACAGAGGGCTGACAGGCTCCTTCCCTCTCTGCTGCTGGAACACAGCCCTTCCAGCCTGTTTTTGAGCATGTTATGAACATTTGATTGACCCATCATTTTATCATACACCACTGGCTTTTGTAACCAGACTCTTGCCTCACTTTGCTGCTAATAAAGAGGTCCCTGCCGTGGTGTTACTCTGCCACGTAAAGTTTTGAAGGGAAAGAAGGTTTGAGGGAAAGAAGGAGATCTTGAGGTTTGCTGTTTGGAGCTGGCTCTGCATTATATTTCACTATGTAAGCAAACATATGCACGGTTTTCTCTTAAGGTTTTCAGGCAGAGCAGTTCAACAGGCAATTTCCTGTACTAAGTAGTGTTATAATTAGGATTGCCACTGGAATGAAACACAGTGCACCCATATTATTGTATTACACCATGTTAGCATTTAATTGTTACATCTGAGAGACTTACACACGCCCACATTTTGAGTGGGTAACTTCTCATACATGCTTTTTACATCGTGGCTTTAAATTCTCTTTATTATTCTGTTGTAAATGTATTTATATTCACATGTGTATTAGTAGGGGAGCAGTAAA